TATTTTCGTGTAAATAAATTTGATTTTTTTTTTTTACTACTTAATATCTGAAAGTTTAGCAATTTCTTATTAAAAAGGATAATTATATGTGATCATATGTGTAATAAGACCTAGAGGTACTATTATCGGTTACTTACATAATTATTACATCAATAATGGTCACCAAATTTACTCTTTGTAATACTAATGAAGTAACCAATTTAATTTTTTAACAGTAAAGTCGTTAATTTTTTGTAAAAAAAATATTACTAAATTATGTGTTAGTTGACAAAAAGAAGGGCAAATTACAGAAATTACATACTTTTAAGGTAAAATTACAATCTATCCCTTAAAAGTTTATAATTACAGAAATCTCTCAAATGGATACAATAATATAATCATTGATACATTAATTTGATGCGCGAGATACATTAATTCGTTAAGTAAGATACATTACATTTTATACATGATACACTAATCTGATGCGCGAAAATGAGGGGTTTTGGAGATTTGTAAAACTTATAGGGGATAATTGTAATAAGTAAACTAAAATGTGAAATTTCTGATAATCGCGGGGAAGTCAAGTTTGGCGCCGGAGAAATGACATATTATCCCTTACTGCATCATTTTGCTAATATGTACATGCCACGTGAGACAGTTTATTTTAATTAAAAAAAATTACTTTGTCATAACCTATATTTTAAACATAAATAATTAACAAAATATTAAATTTTAAAAAATGAAAATGAAAATAGTTTTAACAGGAAAGAGGGTAATTGTTGAGAGCTTTGGAATTGTTTCTTTTTCTTTTTCTCCATTACAACTGTCTTCCACTGGATGAATGGTCTGGTCGGGTCGGGTTGGATTGAGTCGAGTCAATTTAGCTTTTCGAGCCAGTTATTTCTACGCTTGTAGATAAAGTTAATCCATAAGTGTTACCATTTTATTTGTTTCGAGTATTTATAATCCAAACAATAAACATACAATATGTATTTGTATAATATAATTCTATAACTTAATCATGATTATCTGCAAGCAGGGGCGGAGCCTCCTTAGAAGGGGTTCATCCGAACCTTCTTCGGCGAAAATTATATTATTTATACATGGTTAAAATAATTTCATATGTATATATAGGAGATGTCGAACACCCTTCAGCTACTTCATGTGTCTATTTCTATAGATTTTGAATCCCCTTATTGAAAATTTTGATTCCGCCTCTGCCTGCAAGGATGATCGAGTTGGTTGAGCAGAAGATCTGAAACTTCCTACATGCCTTTTCAATCGAGGTTGTTGCACAAGGCTAGCTACTTCTGTGTAATTTGTGAGCTATTACACTGAAGCAAAGTTTACCTAATGCTTATTCAGACGATAAGTGGTTAGGTTTCCTAGTCAAAAAGAAAAAATAAAAAAAAAAATCATGATATGAATATTTTGATGAAAAGGAAGTTTCTTGGAATGGCTCAAAAAAATAGACTATGTCAAGACCTGAACTCTTTTAAGCAAATAGGTAAGTCAATCAAAATTTATGAAGGAGAGGATGAGTTTTAGAGAGATTTCTGAAGACACAAGCACCGAAAATGGTGATTCCAATTTTTCTAATACAGATGCACTCATCTTCGGAAGTGCTGATATTTCAGGTGGGGATACAAGTTTGATCTCAGGTCCCAATATGGCTTTGTCTTCATCTTCATCTTCATCTTACTGGAGTGTAGATCACCACCAGCAGCAGATCTCGACTGCTGCTGGCGGTGGTGATGATGACAATGATAATGATAATGATAATGAGTTGATTGTGTCATCTGCATCTTCCAGGATATTAAATGATGATTTCAGGGCATTTACTTCGATTGCTGGTTCTGAACTTGGTTTGCGTTTGAATACTGGTGGTGGTGAAGCAGTGAACAACGTAACTAGTAATATGCTTGTACAAATATCAATAGCTTGTTTCGAGGCAATCCAACAGAACAACCTAAATCTAGCTGAAGCACTTGTCACTGACTTAAGAAAGTTTGCGGATTCACAAATTGGAGACATGAAGAAAGTGGCGACTGATTTTGCACAAGCGTTGGATCAAATGAATATTCACGGAACGAGTATTCCACAATCCATTCATCAGAATCCTAAATTAAGAAGTTTAAAGTTAATGTTTTTAAGAAAGGTATTTGTTCCTGTATTTACCGGAAGGGAAATTAAAAGAGTAGGAGGTAGTGCTTTTGATGTGGCGTTGGTTGATGTTAATAGCGGAGAAATTGTTGACTCTGCACCAGAAGCATCCGTGACAGTGGAGATTGTTGTTCTGAGGGGAGATTTTGGTGGTGATAATTGGACTTCTGAAGAGTTCGATAGCAATATTGTGCGCCATAGGGAAGATGTAAATATGCCTCTTTTTTCAGGAACAGTACACATTAGACTGAATAGAGGCTTAGGTTTAATAGATAAAATCAAATTTTCTCACTATGCACACTGTATGAAGACTAATGTGTTCTGTCTAGGTGCAAGAGTTATTGAATGTTTCGATGGTACGCGACTAAAAGAAGCAAAGACAGAACCCTTCACTGTCAAGGATGCCCGCGTGACTGCTAGGTAAGTTGATCTACTGTTTATTTGTTTTCTCAAAACGAAGCATTAGTAATGTAAGCATGAGGGCTGAAGCGTTTATTAGATGTGGCCGCGAGAACCAGTATATGCATATAGAATAATCATCTTCAACTTCTGAACCCCTCTGTTAGCCCCATAGGATGCTTTGATTTTGATAAACAACACTTAACAATTATATGAGCAATTGCAGGCTAAGGAATCAAAAAGGAAAGAACGCAATCCTGCAGCTCTTAAGCATCACAAAGAAAAGGGAAAGCAATGAATTACAACACCTGAGCAACACAAAGAAGAAAAGACGCCATTCAAGGGGCACAGATAATTCAGCAGAATCAAGTGAAGATAGCCACAATCCTAGTATCTGACTAGGACAATCAATCAAGCAGAATCTCGAGACAAATCTATATAAACACCCCTTAGGTTTTCCTTACAAGAGCAAACAACCGGTCTATATAAACCTCCCTTAGCTTTAGTTGCGAAGTATCACTTGAACTTGTACTGTTTTCCTCTTTTGTCTTTTATAAAACTATATATTCTCTCGAGTATACAATTGAAAAAGAAAGGTCCGAGTGTAGGTTATACAGGTAGAGATGGTATAAAAATAAAAGATTAGATTACGCCATCAATGTGGAGCGAGACAATTAGACATGCTGAAAGTTGCATAAATAACTACAGGCTGTACTGTTGTACTGATTCTCAACAAAATGCAGGTGGTACATCCATTCAAAGGTTCGAAGTTTAGCGAAGGATATACAAAGTTTCTTCTTAGTTGAGTTAATGTGTGAAAAATAAATATGCACTAAGAATAACTAATATTTAATCTTTGTATATCACATAATTTTCCATCAAAAATTGTACACCGAACTATCCTGGCTCCGCCCATGCTCCTTCGAACATGGAATATAATATGCATGACTCTGATAAAACGCAATGAACCTTTCGGACTTTTTATAATCATTTAGTATCCAAAATTTATTCATCGGCAAAGTTTAAATTTAAAATTTCTAACTAAAAAGTGATTGAAGTTCCACTCATTCTACCACACCTCTAGGTGATATGAACTCTCTTTATTGTTAATAGAAAATATATCAATTCAAACAATGGATTGAGACAAGTGGACCCAAACAAGTTTTCTTAGAACATGCCTTGTGTAGTTTATTATCTTTTACAATGTAATATAAAATCTTGGGTTGGAGAGTTTTTTTCAAATGAAACAAAAAGACAAAAAGAAAAAGTTGGACGTTAAACTTCCTCGAACATGACTGATATAGATAGGGATGGCAATGGAGTGGGGCGGGTAACAGTATTTGCGGGGCAGGGCGGGTTAGAGTTTTTGCGGGGTGAGTATAAAATATTTTTGAAAAGAAATATGCGGGGCGGGGTTGGGAATTTTTCTTTTGAAACTTAACTAAAGAATAAATGTGTTGAGCGTTTTTTGGAAACAGGGGAGGCAACTGGCATGTCTAACAGTCTTGTTTAATGTAAGTTTTGATTTTTTAGAGGAATCAATTGTTTAAACTTATGCCATAATTATCATTAATTATTAATTTCACTATTTATATACATGGTCCATTTGCTGATGTTTGATTCTAAAATTATGGCTTTATGTACAGACTAGAGGTTAGAGCAGTGAATTGATAATACTAATAAAAAAAATTGTACGTATACATTAGAGAGAACAAAACAAAATAAAATAAAATTCATTCAACAAACTTAATTACTTAAATGACTCTTGAAAGGACCCAAAGAAAGCAGATATCAGAATTGAGGTCTAATGCAAAACAGATCGGTCAGCTATTAAGGATGAGGTTATTAGTTTTTATAAAGGCCTTATGGGAATTGCTGCACCAGCTGTTAATAAACTGATCATGAGGAAAGGGCCTCAACTCCAACAACTGCAAAGAATAAGCCTCATAGCTCCAGTTACTGATAAAGAGATATTTGCTAGCTCGAATGCTATTGAAGATGACAAAGCACCAGGTATAGACAGCTATAAAAAAGTCATGGTCCATTATCAAAGAAGAGGTATTGGATGCAAATAAAGACTTCTTTACCACAAGTAAGATGCATCGATCTATTAACTGCACAGCAATTACACTAGTACCTAAAACTCCTAACCCGGCCACAATCAAGGAGTTTCGACCAATTGCTTGTTGCTCTGTCCTTTACAAGATCATTGCTAAGATCCTAGCAAACAGATTACAAAATGTGATCCCGCATATTATTTGTGAAGACCAAGCTGGTTTCATCCCGGGCAGAAATATTCTACTTGCTCATGAATTGATTAAAGGCTATAAAAGGAAGAATATATCCCCTAGATGTATGATCAAGATTGATTTACAAAAGGCTTATGACTCACTGGAATGGAGCTATTTGAAAATGTCATGATTGAGCTTTGCTTCCTTGAGAAGTTCACTAATTGGACTATGGAATGTGTGCAAACTGTTAGCTACAATATCTTCATCAATGGAGAACCTACTGAGCCTTTCAATGCTGCCAAAGGGTTGAGGCAAGGGGACCCCATGTCTCCATTTCTTTTTGCCATAGGAATGGAGTACTTGAGTAGGCTACTGAAGGGGTTGAAGGAGATAAAAGGCTTCCACTACCACCCTAGATGCGCTAAGCTAAACATCAGTCACCTGTGTTTTGCTGATGATTTACTTCTCTTTGCTAGAGGAGACACATCCTCAGCATCTGCTCTCCGCAACTGCTTCCAAACTTTTTTCTCAAGCATCTGGACTTGTAGCTAACCTTTGTAAGAGCTCAGTTTACTTTGGTGGGGTAACTAGAGAAGAACAAGACAAAATCCTCCAGATATTGGGATTTAGCTATGGTGAATTACCTTTTAAATATTTAGGAGTGCCCTTAGCTACCAAAAAGATCTCCCTCATCCAATGGCAACCATTACTGGACAGGATAACATCTCGAATTTCATCTTGGACTGCCAAGAACCTATCCTATGCAGGTCGGGCTCAACTCATTAAATCAGCAGTATTTGGCATCCAAGCCTATTGGACACAACTATTCTCCATACCAGCTAAAGTTTTACATCTTATAGATGCACATTGTAAGAGTTATTTATGGGCAGGGAGTGGTGAAGAAAGCTTTGGTAGCTTGGGAGTATGTCTGTAACCCCAAGTGTGTTGGGGGTTTAAACTTGATTAATATCTCCTTGTGGAACAAAGCAGCTCTAGCAAAGTCTTTGTGGGATATTGCCAATAAGCAGGACAAACTTTGGATTAGGTGGATCCACACGTATTATATAAAAGGGCAGCAACTAGAGCATATCCAAATACCGAAACATGTGTGCTGGTTGATAAGAGTATCTTTAGGTCACAAGACATGTTACAACAAATTCCAAACGGCCAGCTAGGTAAGAGCATGATCAGACAGATATATTATGCTAATCTAAAGATATGCCCTAGAGTATCCTGGAAGTCAATAATGTACAAGAACACAGCAAGGCCTAAGGCTATATTCACTACTTGGCTACTCATGTGGGGAAGACTATTAACAACTGATAGATTGATTAAATGGGGAATGCAGATTGATCCAAAATGTCCACTCTGTTGTAAGCATGAGGAAACCAAAGAACACTTATTTGTGCATAGCGACTATGCTAAGCAGATATGGATCAAGATGGAAAATTGGACAACAATACAACATTGTACAATTTCTACTTGAGACCAACATTTGGATTGGATGATTGTAAATTCTAAGGGGAACTCCCAAGGAGCTCAGGTTTTCAAAATAGTGTATTCTGAACTATCTATGCCATTTGGATGGAGAGGAACTTTCGCATATTCGAAAAGAGAGGTAGGGAATGGGAATCAATTGCAAAGGAGATAGCCTATGTCTATGTGTTAGAGCTCCTCCCAAAATCAGGTGTATTGTCCAAGATTTATTTAAGTTTTAGCATCTGTTTGGTAGCTCCTTCTAAGTTTCTTTTTAGTTAAGATGGCGGGTTGCGTTTAACCTGACCATTGATTTGTAATGCCTAATTTTGGTGATTAATAAAAGTTGCTAATTACCAAAAAAAATAAAAATTAACACACAATTAATAAAATTTATTTATTTACAAAAGAGAAGGCAAAGATGGAAGAGGACTTTAAGCTTAGTTCAGTTAATGACTGTATACATTCTACAATTTGGCTTTGAAATGAAGATACATATATTATTTCAACGTTAGCAAAAAATAAAAATAAAAAGTACATTACTTTTAATTAAAACATTATGCGGGTAAATTTATGTGGGGCGGGTTCATACGGTTTCATTTGCATCCTTACGACGAGGTACAGCAATTGAAAAACATAACCGTAGAACACTTTCTGATTCTGCTCCTTAGCGACTCAAATGTGTGTGACTTAAGTTCCACCAATATCAGCAGGGGCAAACCTACATTGTGTCAAGCAACTTCGTAAATACATATTTTTAAGTTTGTTGACACTTTTAAGCCAATCTAAACAGGCGTTTTAGTGTGCCAAATACGGAAGTAAAAATTGTCAAGCTTTACACAAAATGAGGCTTTTCAATGTTACCTACCAACCAATTAATTATATCGTAAAGGTCATCTTCCACTTGCAAATCCCAAACTGAAGACCAATATATATGACTATCATCTTCCTCTGGCAATTCCCAAAATGAAAACCTAGGTGACAATGGATGTTCGATTGGCCCATAATGAAAACCTGGGTGAAAATGGTGACCAATTTCAATATTACAGCTTTTGCCAACAGCAACCCCAGAAAGTTCCCCAAAATCAACGTTAAATGTCATTACCGCTCTTTGCTCAGCAATTTGATTTTCATCTGTAAACCGGCTGGACGATGCACATGATGATTCAGTCAAATCATTTGTCCCATCACCACTAGCCGCAGCAGCAATTGATATCTGCTGCTGCTGGTGGTCGTCATCGTCCTCTGACGATGATGATGATGATGGAATGTTGGGATCAGAGATCATGCTTTCATCAGATGTAGAAGGATCAGAAATGCCGTAGACGATTGCGTCTGTATTAGAATCAAAGGAATACTCATATTCTTCCATCATTGTGTCTATTGACATCTCTAAAATCCCTCTTCTGAATTTTTTTCTTATTGCAAAAATAAATTCTGATTTGTCAACTTTAACTATATATTAACTGAACTAAAGCGACATTCACCAATAGAAATACAAAGAGGCAATAGGGACACTCTAGACGTGGAAAGTAAATTATGGTATGAAACCAGGAAAATGGAGTGGGACACAAAAAATTCACAAAGCAAAGATTTTTTTTCCTTCCTGGGGTTGAGTTAAATGTCTCGAGTTACCTTCCTGTTTGCTAATTAAATAAACGTGAGGTCTCTGCCTTTTTTCATTCATGTTAATTTCGTTGTCATTTCTTTGAACCTAACATTTCACACGTGTAAAGAATTAGCACTTATCTATCAACACGATCGTGTGAATGCGGGGCAGATTCATAATTTTAATTTTAAGGATTTAATTTATAAAACTTGTAGCGTTGAGCTTATTATATTTTTAAAGTTATTAATTAATAACTAATATGTATTGAAGTTTTAACATGCATATTGTAGACACGTAATTTCTGACCGAATTTAAGGTATTACACCATTTTTATTACATAAATATTGCTTTTATATATAAATTAAATATTTTATTTTTCATCGTATTTTAGTAAGTTTATTTAAAAGATTGAAAAACTACAAAAAATATATGTTTTCTTTTAATTTAAATTTTAATAAATAAGCTAGTATTTCTTAATTATATTTTTAGACTAGCTATTTGACTTTTCTCATATTTTATTAATTCAAAATAATTAGTTAATATTTTTATTATTATGGTTTATATATATATATTTAATTTAATAAATATAATAACCTAAACTACCCACACTATCTCACTACCCCACTACACCTACCCTCACCCCACATACTCCTCCACTACCCCACTAATCCATACCCCACTATACACACACATACTCACACGGACACACACATTACAATACGTATACCAACATACACACAAAAAAGAAAGGGGGGACAGAAACAAAAAAAAAAAACAACCAGATTACACGGAAAAAAAAAGAAAGAAGAAAAACCTTCCCATTTTATTTGATTCTTCTTTTAAAAATTCACCAACACATTCACATCTTTTCTTTCTTACCCATTTTTTCATATCAACACAAACACATATACCATCACAAACAACCTACAAAAGTTGTGGGTGTTCTAATCGAGCTTCGGTTAAGATTTTGCGGTATTCAACTTTACTTTATCTTCTTATTTAATTTATTCATGGAATTTGATGTAATTATTATGATAAGTTTTCTTACACTTTTATTTTATTCATAATTTGATTAAATGAAGAATGTGTTAAGTGTTATATCTCTTTAATGAATGAAAGTAACTTTATTGGTGGTTATTTTTATTTATCTATTTTTGTTCATTAGTTGTGATGTCTTAAAATGAATGGGTCATGATGTTGTTCTTTTCTTGATTTCGATGCTAATAATGATAAGGTAGGAATTATTGGGTTCACAAAATTATTGTTGTTTTATTTATTAAATAAAGAATGAGATTTATTTTAGAAATTCGTCATTGTTTTGTTGGATTAATAAAAAGTACAATATGAGTATGCCTAATTTCGCCATTAACTTCAAGATAAAAAAATAAAAAAAATATAATATGTGTAGGCCTAATTTTAACATTAACTTTAAGGGTGAATAAAAATAAAAGAATATAAGATAATCCAAAATTTATATTGTATCCTAGAAGTTTAGATTTGTTTTATTTTATTTGATTTTATTTAATACTTTCTTATAACATTAGATGGGTTTTGGGCATGTAAACAAAAAAATAATATTTGTTTCAATTAAGAATGTGGTTACACATCTTTTTTGAAACACTTAAAAGAAATTCAAGGATGTGGTGACACACCTTGATAAAATTATTCTAATATATATTTTAACATGTGGATTAATTTAATTAAAAGTATCATCAATAAATATAATAATGAAATGAGAAGATTAGTTGTCTCGAATTCAGAAAAGTTAAGAGTAAGTACTTTTAATACTAGATGAGTTTTATGCACGTTAAAAATATCTGTAAAAAATTAAGAATGCGGTTGCGCATCTTTTTTGAGACATTGAAAAAAAAAAACTCAAGGATGCGGTGACACACCTTGTCCAAAAATATAATAACTTTCATTAATTTAAAATAAGATCACTTATAGATAAAATTAGGTGATGCACTCGAGAGAAGAAAACAATTATGTTCATAAGCTATTTATATGTCAAAAGTCGAGAATGCAGTTATGCATCCGATTTGAAACCAAATAAAAGTTCAACAATAAGAATGCAAACAAGTCATGACCTGAAAATAATATATCTACAAATGATTTAAAGTAGGTAGAAGTCAATAAAAGCGACCGTGCTAGAACCACGGGACTCGAGGGATGCCTAATACCTTCCCCTCGGTCAACAGAATTCCTTACCCGAATTTCTAGTTCGCAGACCATATAAAGAGTCATTTCCTTTTGATTAGGGATTAAACAAAAGGTGACTTGGAACACCATAACTCAATTCCAAGTGGCGACTCTGAAAAAATAAAATAATCTCTTAATCAATACCGTCACTTAAATTGGAAAAACCCTTCTGCCGCTATGCGCGAAAAAGGGGTGTGACACATATACATAAATTTATAGTATTTATAAAAAGTACGAGATTCAGATGAACTACACCCCGAAAGTTGCATCCGCCTCTACGTGAACGCGGAAGATTAATTCTCTACTGAAAGGCAATAGGGACACTCTAGACGTGGAAAGTAAATTATGGTATGGAACCAAGAAAATGAAGTGGGGAAAATGCATAAGTACCCCCAACCTATGTCCGAAATCTCAAAGACACACTTATACTATACTAAGGTCCTATTACCCCCCTGAACTTATTTTACAAATAATTTTCTACCTCTTTTCGGCCTACGTGGCACTATCCTTGAAAAAATTGTCAACACGCGCTGGGCCCACAAGATAGTGCCACGTTGCCAAAAAGGGTAGAAAATTATTTATAAAATAAGTTCAGGGGGGTAATAGGACCTTAGTATAGTATAAGTGTGTCTTTGAGATTTCAGGTATAG